GAAATTGGAAGAACCAAAATTCATTGGCTGTCAACATTATGTTCTTGACCGAGTCTTTCGCGTAGTAATGGATGACGAACTTGGTGGAAACGACACATCGCCCAATATCGAATATCCGCTTATCCGTGAACTTGTAAATAACTACAAAAAGTTCCAAAAGAATTTCAAGAATGGTTGAGATTACTGAAAAAGAATGATTTCATATTGATATTTTTTATAAGCCCAAGCATGGCTTGAGTACCACTAGCACACAGGGGGTTACAGAGTGTAAGGGCAAGAGTAAAAAGAGGTGTTTGAGGAAAGGAGAAAGAGAAGGACGGGACAGGCATTAGAAGATGTCGATTGACATTACATTTGAAGATTATAGCTATCAAGGAAGCAAGTAAGAGGAAATGATATCCACAGACGGGAAGTTTGAGATAAGAAGCTGTTGTAGTAGAAGAGACGGCTACATTTAATCGTGGGACCAAGGATGCCTACCTAGTAAATGCTTAAATTTATGCAGTTTGGCAACCAGCGAAAGTAGCTCGTGGGAGCAACTAAGAATTTGTTTTTAGAAAAAAAATGTTGCCAATATCTAGAAAGAGGCTGACACAGAAGTGTTCCCTTTTTATTATTTTGAATTTAATGTAACTAAAAAAAACATTTCGCTTTTCAACTTGCCTTGATAAAGTTGGATTGACGAAACCTGTCAGCAATGACTAAGAAATATATTTTATAATTGTCTTCTTTTTATTCAAATTGTCTTACCATCAGAATTATTCTGAGAAAATTTAACAATATTAAACAGTCTTTTTCATGCTAAAAGCAATCGTCAGGCCCTGTGATTTTGCTCGACTATTTATATATACATGTCAATGATGCATTGTGGGTAGTCTAATGTATTGCATTGTGGGTAGTCTATTGTATTATTTTAATGTTTATTTTGATAGGCATTAACGGTTTCGAATTACACAGGTGACTATTAGAAGGAAGATATTGGATCCGATTGCAGTTTTTCAGAGGTTTTTATTTTATTTTTACTTTTTATTTATTATTGATTATTTTATTGTTTATTGTTATTACTGCTTTTTCTTGAAAATACCTGTTCGGACCGGGTTTATTAATTTGTTTATTATTTACTTACTTATTTATGGGTTTGGATTAATGTATTTTACTTGTTTTTGTTTATTCTATTTTATTTATTTTAATTATAAACTATTAAATAAACGATCAGAACTCATCTTCAAATAGAAATACGAAAACAAATTTTTACTATGTTACTTAAAAATCGAAAAGTGAAATTTTCATTTTTCGATTTTTAAGTAACATAGTAAAAATTTGTTTTCGTACTTGTATTCGGAGATGAGTTCTGATCGTTTATTTAGTAGTTTATTTTGGTCTAGGAATGTAATTATAGATATTTTTCATCTAGGGTGACTTGATATCTTTTGGATGATGTCTATACATATACATAATAATGAACTGTAGAAGTCTGTTCTCATTAACAACAATGAAAAGTGGATTAAAAACACTGACGATCAGTTTGATATTTCTATAGGATCATTAGATTCTGCAGAGTCTTCTGACCTGCTGGGTACATTTATCCTATATGATCTTGGCGCTTATGATGATCTTAATATTGATAATAGAGGGTTATACAGAGATGATGGTCTTATGGTAGTAAGAAATTCTACTAAATTAAAGGTTGACAAATTAAGGAAAATGATTCATAGAGACTTAAAACGCTTAAATTTTAGTTTAAGATCACAGCTAATGTTAAACGAGTATTTTTTTATGTTACGTTAGATCTTGTTAATGATGTATTCCAACGCTAAATGAAAAATATATAGTAATCCAATATATATTTATCCCAATTCTAACCACCCTCCATCTGTAATAAAACATATATCCTTATCTATAGAATGTAGGATTAGCAACAGCTCATCTCAGAAAGATGAGTTTGATATAATATAGCGGTGTTTATAAAACTGCTTTAAAAATAGTGGCTATAAGTATGCTGAAATCAAGTCTAGAAAATATGATAATATTGATCTAAGGAAAAGAAATAGGAGCATCATTTGGTACACACACCCATTTAACGAATTGTTCAGTACGAAATTATGCCAGAAGATAAATATTTCCCTAAACGTAACCCTTTTAGTAAAATATTTAAAAGAAACAAACTAAAATTATGTTATAGATGCACCGATAATCACGAGAATTTTATGCAAAACATAATAATAATATTTTAAGCCAGTTTAAAAATTTGGATAATGCTGTACATTCCAAGATGTATACTGTTGATAATATCAACAATGTAATTGAAAGAATCCTAACGAATGCCCATTACGAAACAAATATTTAAACAACTTTCTTGTTTATCTAAATACTATTTCTACAATAGAGAATCCGACTGTTGAAAAATTTTATATTGGAAATGCTAAGAATTCTTTTAGAACTTTGTGGTACCAATATGTATTATCCTTCAACAATAGCACTTAGAAAAATAGTACATCTCTTTCTAAATATTTTTTAAATTAAAAGGATCTCATAAAACTCCTACGCTAAAATGGAAAATATTTTAAAAAGCTACAACATGTAGATCTTTAAATGTACCCTGTTTTCCATGCTTACATGAAAAATTAGAAATTATCAGATTTTTCAATAAAAACTCCTTATTAAACGAAAGAAGTGAATTGATTGTAAATTGTAGACATATTCTACGTTTTACCTTACAATATGTTTAAACTTTGAATTTGATAATACTTTTTCTTCTAGAAATAATAAGTAGATGAACTTCAGTGCACTTTATATTACTATTCTATTTGTAAAATTCATTTTGATTCAATATAGCTTTGTATTGACGTTTAATTAGTATTATTAACATCTTATATGGATGCAACGTTGTTTAGTTAGTATTATTAACATCTTATATGGATGCTCTTTACTTAACGATTGCATATTAATTTGCCAAAGTAGTTTTGTATTTATGGTCTACTTTTTTGGCTTTTGTTTTTTCAAACAGTTAAGTTATCTACCACTTTCTTAAAGGGGCCTTTTATTTATCAACTACAAAATTGTATGTTAGAAGCTGACCGAGTTATCATTTTTGTTAAATTACCTCCCTACGCCTTTCGCTTTTAGATATTAGGAAAGTTGAACGCCAGAGTTCTATACATCTTACGAAATAATGTAACGATATGTATCTGTCCATAATGAAATTGTCTAGGATTTATATGCAGACAACTTCGTGTCATGACCTATATTAATTTTTATTTTTCGCTATGATCGAATTTAGCGAAAGTCACATTGATTAATCACGATAAAGTCCACGGGCCTCTTTTTAATTCTTTTTTTATCGAAAAAAAAGGAAGTATTCTACATCTGAAATTAAATTAATCGTTCACTCGCCAGTAGTTTAACATCGCCCGAGGGGACACATTTGTAGTGTTGAAACATAATTGCAATTGTGTAGCGATTTTTAACACGTTTTTGTTTTAACATCCTAAAATGTATATTTTTCGTTACTCTGTATTGAGCCTTCTTTTAAATTAAATGTTACACACTGTAATTACATTCCAATGTTCTCATTTTCTCTGTATATATATATATATATATATATATATATATACATTTGTGTGTGTGTGTGTGTGTGTGTATGTGTGTGTGTGTGTGTGTGTGTGTGTAATAATTATAATAACAGCTTAAATAATATTTATAACCGTAATAATTGTGCGAATACCGGAACGATAGCATGTTTATAGTTAGTGAAAAGTTCTTTCTTTAAATGTATCTTTGTTCCAGCCTACGTAATGCTTACCAGGTGGAATAATGGAGGTACGGTGGTGTATGGTAAATAGCGACTCGGATTGAGGAATCGGAGAGCCGAGTTCGAATTCCAGTCGAATCCATTACATTCACTTAAGTGCTAATACCCTTGGGAAAGGTAGGAATCCTCTTCTTCTCCCCACCCCCAGCTATGCGTAAATACACCGGGTTCCATAGCTTTGGATGGCAACTGGTCTACCGCAGAAAGAAATAGCAACCTACTGCGTGAAAAATCTGCCTCGTCAGTTATTTATTGAAAGATGATCGACTAAGGCTTGTATCACACATGGCACAGCATAACTGACTGAATTCTTACCAAGACTTGATATCTGCCGAGACATGATTCTGGAAAAAGGAATGAGACGAACAAGGCTTGCAATATTACTGACACGTCGTAATATATTGGTTTTTAAGTAATTTGAAATAAAAGGAAAATATTGGTATCCAAGTGCAGACAGGTAAACAAATGGAAACTTTATAGACTTACGCTTCGCTGGTAAATCTCAATGAAGAGATTAAAACTATGGCGAATAAACAAAAGGCGTCGTTCATCCGATGGATTTTGGCCACTCAACGACAAAAGCAAAAATATTGCTAGCAGGAATCTCCAGGGAAAAATAACGGATCATCAAAGCGTGAAAATTGACTAAAATTCTGTTATAAAGAAAAAGAGAGAAAACCTGAACTTTATTAAAATGGAAACACTACTGCACACATACATACACACACACATATCTATATAGGTAGACAGTGAGAAAGAGATATGTGTATATAAGTCTTCAGGTTGGTGGACTTATATAAATGTAAACGTACTTGCACGTGAAGAAAGTCTATATAAACCTGAAATTGTATAATAATTATATATTGTATACATATATATATACACAATATATATATATATATATATATATATATATATATATATATATATATATATATATATACGAATAAAAACGAAAAAACTTTTCTTTTGGCTACGTGTTTCGTTCTCTGATGGACTTTATCAAAAGCAAATGAAAGGATTTTTACTTTGCGACAGGTACTTATAAAGTGAACTACAAAAATGTCGTTATTTATTTCAACTTTTTAATACACAGTTTTGTCCCTAAAGTGTCTTTACAATTTAGAAAAATGATTACAAAAGCAAATGAACAGAAAAATTGTTACAAAATGAGGAGTATATATTGAAGTTTTTCATCCATCTGATATCTATCTCATTCTGTCTATATCTATCTATCTATCTATCTATCTATCTATCTATCTATCTATCTCATTCTGTCCATATCTATCTATCTATCTATCTATCTATCTATCTATCTCATTTTGTCCATACCTACATATCTATCTACCTATCTGTCATATTCTGTCCATATCTATCTATCTATCTATCTATCTATCTATCTATCTATCTATCCTACATATCTGTTTATCTATATATAACATTCTGTCCATATCTATCTATCTATCTATCTATCTATCTATCTCATTCTATCAATATCTATCTATCTATCTATCTATCTATCTATCTATCTATCTATCTATCTATCGATTTCCTTATTTTACAGTGTGTCTTTAAAGTAATTGTACAATTTTAGAAAAATTATTACAAAAGTAAATGAACAGACAAATATGTGGAAATTGTTACAAAATGATGAGTAGATATTTAAGTTTTTCTTATTAATTTAATCCATCTCTATGAGGACGAACAGGGCTTGCAATATTACTGACACGTCGTAATGAGGACACCATTATTTGCACGAAGCACATCAAGACCGTACTCGATTTCTTGCCATGTTCGCTGGAGCATAGCCTCAACAATGGCATCAGTGATTTTTTGCTTTAGATAATGATGTCCCGTATCTTGGTTCGATAACCGATATCTTTAACAAAACGCCATAGAAAGAATGATATCTGGTGAACGAGGTGACCAGCTAATTGGGACATCCCTTCCAATTCACCAGTCTGAAAAGGTTTGATTAAAAAAAAAGTCTAACTTAAAATCAAGGTAAATAAATAACGGAGAATGTTAAGTGAACCAATAAACGAAAGTAAATGTTGTTGTTGAATTTTTTTATAATATACCGTATTTTCCGGCTTACAAGAAATTGCGGCTTGGAAGACGCACCCTAATACTGGAAAGAAATTTCCAAGAAAAAACATATCATTCTCATACATCAATACATTCACCATGCGTCCCTCACATACTGGCGCCACCAGTGTTTAATGTTTACATTAATCACTCGTCCGGTTTTGTTTGTATGGCGATGACATACTAGTCAAGAACAGAAAGGATTCCGACGCTGCAAGTAAACAAAGCATGTTTAAGCTTGTGGCTCGGCTCCAGGAAGGTTTATAATCTTGGAAATACTCGTAACAGCCAAATACTGAGGTTGCATTATGTAAAAGGCTGAATTAAATAGATAACTAACATTATAGTGTAATGACTCGACATACAAATCGATGTCCCTATCAGTCAAACAAATTAGGTGACCGCCCAAGCTTACTTGAGCCTGGGCATTGCTTTACATTCGTCTTGGAAGACACACACTCATTTTTCTCATTACAAGTGCGTCTTGTAAGCCGGAAAATACGGTAATTATCATTTAGTTTAGTTTAGTTGATCACAACGTTGCTTAAGTGGGACGAGAACTGTTTAATTAATTATAGTCATCTAAAAGAATTTGGTATTAATTATAAGTTATCCCCTATAATAATGGCGTACGGGTTGGAAATTGCTGGAACAGTGTTAATGGATTAAGGAAAAAAAAAAGAATTTCTTCGTTTTCATTGGTGGTTCACCCAACACAAGGCCAAAGAGCCACTCAAAATAAACGGTTGCTGAGTGAGCTTGTTCTAAGGGAGGGGGTATGAAGAATTAAGAAATGCATATTATGAGGGAGTGTCGGATGGATATCGGTTGACTCTCCACTTAAAGAGACCAAATCATCAGGGAAGCATTCTCCCGGGAGTTTGTTTCATAAAGGAAAATTTCTCGGGATCAACCTGACTGGAACTTGCTTTTTTTTTCAAAGGAACACAAAGGGAATTGGGATGGTTTGCCAACGTGAACATGGCCAGGCGGACCCTATCTGTGAAGGTCGGGCAAGATGGAACTAAGGAATGTAACTCGTCCGAACATCTGTCATGGGCGACCCAGTAGGGAAAGGCTGGCCACGTTTCGTCTGTAGGATAAGGGTTGCAGGATGGGAAATAACTCATCACCCACAAGGCCGCGTAAGCGATTTTGTATTCTGTCGAGGCTGGGGAGTGAGGATTTGGCAGCAACAATCTAGATATGGCAGAAATATTCCATTTTTGTCTGATTTGATAAGGAATGAAATCGGGGGTTCGTAATTTTCTGGATTTGGAAGAATAAAAAAGAAAGGAGGTGGGGGTGGATTGAAGAAAAATTTTTGTGAATCGAAGAAGAAAGAAAAAAGAAAGAAAGAAAGAATAATCCAATTTAGAAAGAGTATAAACAATATGAGGCTGAGAATATGAAAGGAGAAAGAAAGAAAGAAAGAAAGAAAGAAAGAAAGAAAGAAAGAAAGAAAGAAGAAAGAAAGAAAGAATAATCCAATTTAGAAAGAGTATAAACATTATGAGGCTGAGAATATGAAAGGAGGAGAAAAGAAAGAAAGAAGGAAGAAAGAAAGAAAGAAAGAAAGAACAATAAAAGCAGAATGAGAAGGAGAATATGAAAGAGGGAGAAGAAAAACATGAAGAAAAATAATGAATAAAAAATGGAATATGAATGAGTCAGATGAGAAAAGATGAAGGAACGTTAATAATGAAATGCAAATAAGTACAAATAGATAATGTAAAAATTCGAGGAAAGTTAGAATCCGTAAAATAATAACATATTCTATATATCAAATATATTTTTACCATATTCGGTGTTAAAATAAGAACAACATTAGAACATGGACATCAACAGAAAAGAGGAGTAAAAAAAAGGGGGGGGAAGAAGAGGAGGAAGAAGGAGAAGTCGTGTAGGGGAAAAGAAGAAGAGGAGGAAGATGAAGATGAGGAGGAGGAGGAGGGGGATGAAGAGGAAAAAAAGGAGAAGGAGGAAGATGTAGAAGAAGAAGAAGAAAAGGAGGTGAAGGAAGAAGAAGAAAAGGAGGTGGAGGAAGAAGAAGAAAAAGAAGAAGGGGAATACTACTACTACTACTAATAATAATAATCCCACCCAAAGGATTAAAGGTTTGTTGTCTTCCTATCCACAACGAGAAAGATATGACACCACAAATGATAAAATGTCTATTACTAATGAAATTACTAATGTATAATTGCTTCAGCCAAATAAGGCTTGCCATATGACTATAATAATAATAATAATAATAATCCCACTCGAATGATGTCAGGAATGGTGATGGAGAGACTAGTGTTACGATACATTTCCAATCTTCAAAGACATGAAAATTAATGCAAATAGACCAGGCATTGTCATAAAATATATCAAAAAAAGGGACAGCCAATTAATTGATATGACTCGACCACAGAATTCCCATGTTTCTGACTTGCATCTACATCACATAGAAACTCCTGTTTCTGCACAATCACTGAAGTTAAACAACGTCGAGCCTGGTCTGTACGTAAATCGGTGTCCGCTTGGGAAAACCAGGTGCAGTAATCTTGGGTGTGAGGATGGTATAATGGTTAATGAGTCGGTTTTCTTAATTGGAGAGCCGAGTTCCAATTGTTATATTCACTTCTGCGCAAATACCCACCAGGCTATGGATTAGCAAGGCTTGTATTACTAGAACGATCATTATCTTAAAAAAAAAAAAAAATTAAATAACCCATGGAGTTGTTGATATGCCGCTAAAAAAATAAGGAACGAACCAACCAACCAATGTTTCTTTAAAAGAATTTCCAAAAATGTCAAAGTATAAGAACGTGCAAATCGAAGTGGAAACTTAAAACTACGATTATCCCTGTTATGATAGGAACATTGGGTATGATAAAAAAAAGGGTACCAAAAATTACGCATTACCATCCAAGACCTACAAATGATTACCTTATGCAGAACTGCACATATCATCCGCAGACCCCTTTGCATCTAAACGAAATGTCCCAAATGTTCATAGATAACTCTGCTACAGTGTTCTTTTTACTTATAGTCTACCGAGGGGACTTGGTAATTAGGCCCTTAGAATTAATCTCTGGCAAGGTGATAGCACATATAATAATAATAATTAATTAATTAATTAAACGTTACCTATCTAGGGGCGAAATGGCAACATCCCAGAGGAGATACACGCAGAAGAACAAATAGAAACCATCTATGGTACAGAAGCAAACAGATAAATGATAATGACGAATATGAAAGAGAAGTAGAGATGACAAAAACATCCGATATAAATGGGAGAATGTAAAGGAAATGTCTTTCGAAGTAAGGCCGACAATTCCAAAAGTAAGAAAGAACCGCCAAGTAAAGGAAACCGCCAACCTTGCTAACCAAGCAATTAGAAAAATAAAGGATGAAAACGAAAGACCGATGAACCTGAGAGAAATTAATCGACACGCAGCCTCAGCAAACAATAGAAACAAAATTTACAAAAAGTAAAATACCAATGTTAACGAAAAAGAAAAATGCCGGTCAGTAAAGAAAAAATATAATCCGAAATAAATAAACTGCGAGGACTATTGCCCCTTCTAAGTAAAGTAGACAAGGCTACGAAAGAAAGAAAAAGGAGAGAACTGAAGCGAAGCCTTGACATAACGAATCAGACTGGCGTACCAAAAGTGAAAGAGAAACTGAAACAAAAAATCAAGCGAAAGCACAGGGAATCAGGTGTTATGAAAGAAAGAAACAGATTCTTCTGGCAAAATAAGATCTTCAAAGAAGATGCCAAGAAAATATATCGAGAGCTTGGATAGACCGAATAGCCAATTTTTGGATAAAAAAAACCTTTGTAGCTCTCACCAAGACCAAAAACGAGCTTACAATGATATAATCATAAACCCAGAATAATGCCCCAAATAGCTCAGTTGTGGAGTAACATACCTACTCCCCCAAACAGAAGAGATGCAGAACCCGAAAAACTATAGGTCCATCACCTGCCTACTAACATGATCCTCACTTCTATCATAACCCGGAGAACACACAACTTCCTTGAGAAAAATAATTTATTCCCAACAGAACAGAAGGGGTTTGAAAAGAAGTTACAGGTGCAAGGACTAACAAAGAGAAGAGGTGAAAACAAAGAAAAGGAACTTATCGATAGCATGGATCGATTACAGAAAGTCGTTCGATAGTGTACCATTTGTGGATAGAGAAGAGCCTAAAAATATAGAGAGTATTGCCCCAAAACGGTCAAATTCATAACGGAGAGCCTGAAAAACTGTAAGACTACACTAAAATTAAAGCATACAAACGGGTCATTAACATCGAGACCAATCAACATCAAAAGCAGGATCTTCCAAAGAGATTCATTGTCACCACTACTTTTCTGCTTTGCATTAGCGCCACGCATCTGCTTATTGAACAATAGTAACCATGGATACAAGACACAGAATAGCAAACTGAATCACCTATTTTATAGTGGTGATCTTAAAACGTTTGCCAAA